AGATCATGTTGTATGAAAATAAGGACACTTTGACTTCTTCTTTACCTGTTTGTGTTACTTTTATTTTTTCTTCCTGTTTTATTGCTCTAGCTAGGAATTCCAAGTCTATGTTGAATAGGCATAGAGAGAGTGGAGACCCTTTCTTTGTTCCTTACTTTCCAGTAACTGGTTTCATTTTTTTCCAATTAAATATGATATTTGCTATAGGTTTGTAATATATAACATTTATTATATTTAGGTACATGCATTTTCTCCCTAGTTTCATCAGAGCTTTTGTCATGAAAAGATGTTGGATTTATTGAAGGCTTTTCCTGCATCTATTGAGATGATCAAGTTTTTGTCTTTCCTATTAATATGCTGTATTACATTTAATGTTTTGCATCTGTTGAAATATCCCTGCATCCCTGGGATGAAACTGACTTGATCATGGTCATTATCTTTTTGATGTGATGTTGATTTCAGTTTGCTACTATTTTAATAAGAAATTTTGCATCTATGTTAATTGAAGAGATTGGACTGTAATTCTGTTTTTCTAATTGTGCCCTTGCCTACTTTTGGATGAGTGTAATACAGGATTCATGGAATTTATAAGGTAGTGTTCCTTCCCTTTCTATTTCATGGAAAAGTTTAAGGAGTGTTGGTATTAGTTTTTCAGTAAAGATCTGGTAAAATTCAGTGGAGAATCCATCAGGTCCTGGACATTTCATTTTTGGGAGGCTCTATTACTGCTTTAATTACTTGCATGTTATAGATCTGTTCATGGGATTAATACCCTCTTAGTTCAGCTTGGGGTTTTTATATGTATCTAGAAATGTGCCCATTTCTTTTAGATTTTCCAATTTATTTTAACATAGGTTTTCAAAGTATTCCTTGATGATTCCCTGGATTTTCTTGGTGTTTGTTGTTCCCTACCATGTTTTGTTTCTGATTTTATTTATTTGGGTTTTTTACCAGCTCATTTAAATCAGATTTGCCAGGGATTTGGTTATCTTGGTTGTGTTTTCAAAGAAACATGTTTGTTTGTTGATTCTTTGTATGGTTTCTTTGGTCACTGTTTCAACATGTTTAATACACTTCCTATCAAAACCCCAATGGCATTCATCATAGAGATTGAAAAATCCACCATAAAGTTCATTTGGAGGTAAAAAAGACAGTGAATAGTGAAGGCAATCCTGAGCAAAAAGAGCAACATTGGAGGTATCAAAATACCCAGCTTAATTTTACTACAGGGCCACAACATTGAAGAAAGCATGGTACTGGCACAAAACCCAATATGAATACCAGTGAAAAAGAATAGAAGGTGCAGGTATGAATACATGCAGCTCTGCCCACATAAATTTTGACAGACATGCCAAAATCATAAGACGGAGAAAAAAGAGTTTCATCTAAAAATGTTTCTGGGAAAACTGGATATCTGCCTGCAGAAAACAGAAACGAGATCCAAGTCTTTCACCCAGTCCAAGTATCAACTCAAAGTGAATTAAGGACCATAAATTGAAACTTGAAACTTTGAAGCTGTTGCAGGAAAGAGCAGGGAATATACTGGAAACAAGATGCATAGGCCATCACTTCCTCAATAGAAGCCAAATGGCTCAGCAACTAAGAAAAAGCATTGACAAGTGGGACTACATGAAAACAAAAAGTTTCTGCACAACAAAAGAATAGGTTTCTAAAGTGAAGTGCTGCCCACGGAATAGGGGAAAGTCTTTGCCAGATATACATCAGACAAGGAACTGATACCCAGCATACACAAGATCAAAAATCTAAACACCTTCCCAAATCAAGACCCAATGAATAAATGACAAAAGAACTGAATGGAGCCTTTTCAAATGGTGAAATGCAAATGACAAAAAAACACATGAAAAAATGCTCACCATCCCTGGCCATAAAAAAACCGCAAATCAAATCCAGGTTAAGATTTCACCTCACTCTTAATAGAAGAGCTACCATCACTATATATAAAAAAAGGAAGATGTGATTCAGTAGATTAAAATTTCTCAAATGATGGTTTGTTTCAAGAGTACTCATTTTTTTGGTTTGGCTTTTTGTCTTCTTCATGCTGTGTTTTTTCTCTAAACGAAAGAACTTTGGCTTCACCAAAATTGATACTGAAATATAAGGCTCATATTGCTTTGCAACTCTACTAAAATACCTGGAAACAAAAATAAGTGGAAGGAAATAAACTTAATCAAGCCCATCCCTGATTAAAATAGAGGAGACTTTCTGTCACAAATCTCCATTTTCAGGGCTCAGCAACAAAATGAGCTTTTATGGAACACAACACCTTACCATAAAACAAGAAGTGTGAAATCACTGCACTTATCTCCAGAGCACTGTCTCCTTCTTTAATCTGAACCAGGAAAATTGGCTTCCAGGTTTCATTATTTGCATTTTCTTTCCAGACAACAAGTTTCTTTTCTGCAAGTCAATTCATATGAGTGAAGAAGAGGAAAAGGTAATAGAGATGCTTCTCTTTACATTTTACCATGTAAAATGGGTGGTTCCCCAAATGGTTAGGAATTTAAGATAAGATACCAGTTTTCATTTGCTCTGATAGAAGACTACATTTCATGTTGTGAGAAAACGCCAAACTGTCCTCTTAAATGGCTATATTGCTTTGCATGGACACCAGCAATAAATGTGAATTCCTATATTTTATGAGGTTTTACCATTGCCAGAAGTTTTGATTTTATCCATTCTTGCTTTAATTGCTCCAGTTTTAAATAATACATTATCTTTTTTTTACCATTTTCCAATTAGTTTTTTTTATTAATAGGTAAATAATGATTCAGAAATCCCAGGTAGGAATCATCATGTGTTCATGTCCCATCTTCCTCCTGTGGAATAGAGAGGATAGAGAAGAGGTGTAGAGCAGCCAGTTCAGATCTTTGAGAGAAATGTGCCTTCTGCACATTGGCTCTCCCAGGTTGAGGTCCAGGTTGTGGGGCAGAGAAACTTATCCCATACCGGTACCATTTACACATAGAGGCATCAAATCTTTGCAGTCTTTGCCTTCCTATAGCTATGGAGGTCCATGTAGTCCACCAAACAGCTCCTTCTCTGGTTGGAGAAGCAGCAGTACAAAAGGGAAATTCTAAAGTTCTTAAGATTTGTTTTGATATCTTCTGTAGTGGTGTTGACTCCTACAGGAGCCCCTAAAGCACAGTGCAGCTCAATGTGAACATTAGCAAAAAGGCTATTTCCAGAAAGAAAGTATAATGCAGATCATACTACATTACCTATTTTCAAATAATTTTCTAGTGAAAGTTTTTCAAACCTCATACTTACTAAAAGATAAATCATCCAATTTTATGAAGTTTTCTCTTCAACACTCCTTCACCCCATAATGTAATTAGAAGGAGAGCTTACATATGTGTGAAGGGCTGGGAAGAAAATGCAAATGGTAGAACTTTTGAAATGAATGTGATAAACAGGAAAAATAAGAACTTTTGTTAAAAACAGCTAAAATGATGACTAATGTTATAAAGTTTTTTCATTTTACATGATGTTTAAAATCTTACCAAAAAAAGTACATTAATTTAAGTTTTGCTGATGGGGAATTTTGCCTTAGAATCATCACATGATTGGTAGAAGTTCACAGGGCCTGTAACATGTATAAAAAATTCCGGCCTAGTTTTTGTGAGTGATTCCCTCTCCTTTCATACTTATTGTTTCTTATGCATCAAAATCTTCCAGGCTGGAAATTTTGCTATGGCATTCTACAGGCCACTCTGACAAGATTGAGGGAAATATGATCTCCATATAAAGTCTCAGGAAGGTTGCTTCTGGTTTGAAACTGATAACTGTGATCAATTAGACAGAGTCTGCTTTCTGAAAGTAGTCAGGTCAATACAAAGTCCCAGTGTTTTGTCTAACACCCAGAAGTGTTTCCAGGACAATAGGAGGCACAGATGAATTCAATTCAACCTACCATTTTCTGTAAGCAGTGGGATACCACAGGATATAATCTGCGTATTGTCCAATAGGGATAACCACAAAGCCTGGCATAAGCCAAAGGGCCACCTGTTTTTTATTGCTGTGTCTATGACTTAGTCTAAATGTTGTCCCCAGGTTTCAATTTCTTAAAAACAAATGCTCCTAAGTCATCTGCAAATGATTTTCCAGCTCTATTTTACAAATAAAATTCTGGTTTATAGTTCTTTCTATGTTTATGATATAATCCTATGCAGAAGTCAGTGCTGTAGGGAAGGGAAAATGTGTTGACAAGGATTTCTTTGGTATGAAAAAAAAATCCTCCTCACCACTTATTTTTACACAGATGGCCAATAACTATAATGAACTGAAGAAGCAGCTGGAACATGAAATTGTTAGTAAATGGGACACTTCTTTCTTAACTACATCTTATTCTGTCCTCCAAAGTAATAACTATTTCCTTATAGCAAATACAAAAAAAGCCTTTCCCTATAGAACTTTCATGTTCACACTTCTGCAAAAATAAGATTTATATTTTCTATTTCTATATTTAAATAAAGGAGGAATGTTTTCAATTGCTACTTCAAAAGAGATGCCTAGGTTTTCTAAATTTCAGTTGAGTCTATGTAGGTATTCCTGTGAGGTTTTGTAATTATTTATTTCTGTCAAATTGCTTTCAATTGTAGATATACTTAAGTGTTCCATAAACTCTGCCAATGGGCAATTTAAATAATGTAATCAGAGTCACCAGTTCTTGTGAGACCACTGAAGATTGGAATGTAGAATTAACTAAACATTGAGGACTTGCACATACATGAATTCCATTCAAAGATTGGGTACCAGAGAAGAATTAAAATATGTGGAAATAAAGGAAGAGTAAACAAAGTGGGGTTTTGGAACTCTAGCATCGTCAAGGTGTAGGTGCTCCAAAGGCTTCTCATTTTTCATGGAAACACTGCTGATGCCCTATTTCAGGAAACTGGCTTTGGCAGTTTCTGCCAATATTGTCCACATTATCAATAGCATAGACCCATGTGCCTGTGAACAGGCATCAAGGTTTTAGACTCTCAGAATTCTTTCCTTGTCACACAACAGAGTTTTTGATGTCTTGACATCACCCTTTTCATGGCCCCTGTCACATCCCTGTTCCTTAGACTATAGATGACTGGGTTCAACAAGGGGGTGAAGATAGTATAAAAAGCAGAGAAGATCTTATCTTTGAGTGGGGTGTGGTAGGATTGGGGAAGCATATAGGTATACAATGCAGCCCCATAGAACAACGTCACCACAGCCACATGTGATGAGCAGGTAGCAAAGGCCTTCTTCTTCCCCTCTGCTGACTTCATTTGATATACTGTCACAAGAATACAAGCATAGGATGAGATGACCACAGAGAAGGGAATCAACAGCATTACAACACAGCAAATGTACATCACCATCTCATAGGTGGCTTTGTCACCACAGGCTAGCTTCAGCATAGTGGGTGCCTCACAGAAAAAGTGGTTGATTTTGTGGGAGGCACAGAATGGGAGACTCATGGTGATTGGGGTGAGGAGGAAACTGTCTAAAGCACCACCTAACCAAGAGCTTCCCAAAATGAACCAACAGACTCTCCGACTCATGAGGACAGGATAGCGGAGGGGGTTGCAGATGGCCACATAGCGGTCATAGGCCATGAGCCCCAGGAGGAAGAACTCAGCCCCAACAAAGCCCATGTAGAAAAAGTACTGGGCTGTACAGGCAATAAAGGAGATGGTTCCCTTACCTACAAGATAATTTACCAGTGTCTTGGGCACAATGGTGGTGATATACATCATGTCAATAAAGGAGAGGTGGCTGAGGAAGAAGTACATGGGCGTGTGGAGTTGAGGATCTACATGGATCAAGAACACCATGACCCCATTAGCAATCATTGCTATGAAGAAGGTGGCAGAAATAACAATGAAAAGGAAGCCTGAGGCTTTATTTTGAGGAAAGAGCCCCACTAAGTTGAAGTCATTGGAAAAGCTCTTGTTTCCATTCATGGTGTTTCGTTTGAAATGGAGGCATAAAAAGAAAAATAAGGATAAAGACAATCATTCCAAATGTCTGAAAAATAATTATAATTACAATTATAATGATAATATTACATACATTATATATATCAATAACATATTTTATATAAGTATTATTTGATACCTTTAATATTTTGTATAATTATAATCATAATTACAATTATGCCAATTATACTTATATAAAGTAATAATTCAATTAATGTAATTTATATAACTAATGTTAAGCACTTCTGTGAAGTAGATTTGCAGTTTCTTTTCTTTTAGCAATTTCTTCTTATTGAAGACCAATCAGAAAGTTAGTTTCCCATTCATGAAGATGAGCAGATACTTGGCAAATTATAGCCGGTATAAGAAAGTTTAAATTTTATTCCAGAACATTTGAGTCCCAAAAAGGATTCTTCCCTTGGAGTGAACTCCATTTATTTAAGGTGTGTATTCAATTGCACAACAACAGATTCAACAAATTTATATAACCAAATAATTTAGCATGACATTTGATCAAATTGGAAATTTTTGGCACAATTATAAAACTGGTCAGAAATCACCACGGACTTTTAGATCTAGCTGAAAACTATAACAAACCATATTGAATACAGCAACAACATCACCCATTGTTGGGTATGCTTACTAGTTCTTTCACTTATTTATCAATTTATCATTCATTCACATTCAAATCTTTTTCTATGAAAAAAGACTCCACTCCAGTGTTATGCTCTATTCCTTGGCAATACTAGAATAAATATCAGAGAACGTGTTTCATGCACCTTAATTTCTTGTCATGATAGAAACAGAGTAAGCAACAACAGAGTGAGGTCATGCTGTCAGATACTACTAAATAAGTGCTATGGGGAAAATACATAGACAATGAAGGATAAAATAGAACAGCCATGTAAATATTTGAAGGCATAGTGTTCTTACAGAATAAATAATAATTATCTATCTCTAAAGCACAATGGAACTTGGAATATGAGGAAACAAAAAAAGCAAGGTCTGGAAGAATATAACAGCAATGGGACAGTGAGTTATCAGTGGTCAATACTTCAAGGCACTTGGGCCAAGAAAAGAAGTTCAAAACTATTTTAACTATTTCCAGTAGAATTATCTCCAGTTAAAATTGTACGATATTTAACATGCTTACCTGGATCTTTTTTAAAAGTATTCTTTTATACATTGGAGCCAATTATTTTCCTTGTTTTACATTTTGTGGGAAAGGTTAAAACAGGAAAGTACACATCTGCATTAGACAGGAGCAATTTAAGTTGTGCCTTTGGTCCCAGTGTCCCTAATCTTGCTTAAATTTTGGCCCAAGCCTTTTACTGTTGAAAGATTTCTCATTTGATGGATAAATTCAAGAAATGGTGACTGAATGAAATGTCTGAATGACCTTGAAACACAAAGGACATATGAAACTCATATAGTGTCTCAAAGAGTTAGAAGAGGTATCCATGCCTATGCAAAGTATACTTACATCCAGTCAGAGGTGGTGTAAAAGGAAAGATGGTAGGGAGATGAATATGGTCAAAGTACTTTATACACATATATGAAAACAGAACATTGTGACCTGTTGAAATTGTTTTAAGAAGGAGGAATGGGAGATGAATTGGAGTCTAAGAGGCATGTGACTTTGATAGAGGCACATGGCATACATATATGGAAATATCCCAATGGAACACCTTTGTACAATTAATATATGCAAATAAAAATGGGAAAATAAGAAATTTCTCAAAAAACAATTTTCCTGACCTTGAAAAAAGCTTTGGATAAGATCTCAAAAGAACACAGGCAAGAGGAACAAAAAAAGACAAACAGAATTACATTAAAATATAAATCTGCATGCCATGGGAAGAGCTCAATTGTAGAAAGTTTACCTTGCATGTTTAAAGCTGTTTCTCCTAACTGCAGCACTGTAAGATACATAATTAATACTTTGTACAGAGCAAAGCTTACATTCAACAGTGAAAAACCAATCTGCAGAAAAGAAAAAAAAATTCTTCAAAATTACATTTTACAAGACATTAATATTCATAATATGTAAGGAAGTCAAACAACTCAGTAGTGAAGTAATAAAAAGATAAACAAAATGTTTTTTTAAATAACCCCATATAGTCCAGTTAAATGGGCAAAGAGCTGAAAAAAATTAAGTGAAGTCACACAAATGGCCAGCAAGTATATGAAAAAATTCTCAGCATCACTAATCATCAGGGAAATGCAAATCAAAACTACAATGGAGTATCACCTCAGCATAGTTAGAATGCCTACTCTCATAAGGACAAACAATAAGAAGTCCTCATTTGGTTAAGGAAGACCTTGACACACTTTTATTGGGAGTATATATTGAAATACTCATTAAAGAAACAGTATGAGAGTCCTTCAAAACAATTATGTAGAACTCCACATGATCCAGTAATCCCAATACTGGGTATGAATTCCAATACAGGGTATGTATCAAAAGAAAGCAAAACAATTGTGTTGGAGAGATGGCTGTACAACCATATTTATTGCAGCCCTATTTGCCACAGTTTTACACTTAAGATATGAAATCCATCTAATTGTTCAAAATTGAATTAATGAATAAGGGAAATATGATATACACACAACATGGGATACTTCTCAGCCATCAAAATAATAGCATGGCTTTTTGTTAAATGAAATAAGTCAAGCACAAAAGGACCAATACCACACAAGCTCTCTCATATGTACAATCTGAATAGTTGATCTTCTCAAAATAGAAAGTAGAATAGGAAAGACTGGAAAGGGCAGGGAGGTAGGAGAGGGCAGAGATTCATGAATAGATACAAAGTTACAGCTTCCATGAAGAATGAGTTGTGGTGACTATAGATCAAAATAGTATATTATATACTTCAAGACAACTGATAGAGAGGATAATAATCACAAAAAATGGTAAAAGCTAAAAGGGGATGGATATGGTAATTTATATTATTTTATCATTACACAATACATACATGTGTCAAACAGTATCTGAAAAATATGTATAATTATGTATCAATTAAGATGAAATATAACCTAAATAATAAAAAAATGGATACAATTTTCAGTAATGTGTTAGGATGGAAGCTATTAGGAAATACATTAGGGAGTAACAATAAGATATGTCCAAAGGTATGTGTAGAAACATTTTTAATTTAATTTAAATAAAAAAAATTAACATGAAAAGGGAAGAAACTATAACCAATATTACTACTAGTGAAACTTGAATTTTTTTAAATTAAGTATTTTTTGAGAAAAGGTGTCTCTGCTGCTCAGGTTAGACTCTAACTCATGATTCTCTTGCCTCCACTTCCTACAGTTGGTATTTACAGGGATTTATAACAATGCACAGCTGAAATATCATTGTAAACATTTACACTTTTATAGTAAATGTAGTAGCAAAGTTTATTAGGAAAGGAATCTAGTATAACAGGAGAAAAGTGGGGAGAAATATATCTGGCTTCCCATTCAGAAAATGGTAATAGAAACTCCTAAATATATACAATAATAATATAAATGATTGATTTAATTGTAGGTAACTGTAAGAATAAGTCCTAAGCTGCTTGCTAAGCAAGTATTCTATCATTTAAAAAATATACCCATTTTCTTTAAATTCTTGAGTGAGGGTATCACTAACTTTGCTGAGCATCTCTTGAGCTCTCCATCCTACTGCCTTTGCCACCTGAGAAACTAGGATTACAAGTGTGCACAAAATGTCAGGCTTGAATTGTAGGAATATTTCTTAAAAATACCTATTTGTGTGTGAAGATACAGATATACAAATATAACAATGTCTGAAAATGGAATGCTAGTAATGTACATGAAAATTAGGTTCAATTCGTATGCAATGGAAAGTTATGAAGTACTAGAAATTAGTTTCTATTTACAAATTCACTGAAGTGTTTATGCTGACCCCTCTCTTCACCAGGCATTGTTCTGAAGACAAATTGACAAATGACAAATGCATTCATATATACTTAGCAGGAGGTTAATAATTTTATCTTGGTGAATGAATTAGAAAAGATGGATTTTTACTTATGATTCTAACAAAAGACAACTACATGGATAAGAATGATTTTTAAAAGCACTAGATCAGTTAATAGTATTAAAATGGGATCAAAGATGTATTTCCATGTGCATGCCTCTAACATACTGGAAAATATGAAAGAAATAATATATAGTATAATATCCCAGGCAGTTGAAAAAATTATGGAATGAAATTATATAGAAGGCTATGATGTTAATTATAGCTATATCATTATGCAGGATAAAAATCCTTCCTTCAACATGTAGGTTCACTCTGTTAAAAAAAAAAACGGTACAAATGCAAAAAAATAAGAATGCCTTAATCAAATATGGTTTAAGGAAATACTGTAAATAGAGCAAAAAAGAAATCTTTAACTTGAATTTTAAATAAAAATTTGTTATGCACTTTAATATATGAGGTGGTAACAGTAACACAATCCTTTTTCACTAAAATGTACTGGTAGTCTAAAAGACAGTGACAGTCTTACCCTTCAGAGAATTTGAAAGGTTTAAACATCAAAAATCTAAGACAAAAGAAAATCAAATCTGCAAAAAACAAATAAGTTATGCATGGAAATCTACAGGATACCAAGATGTATTCGGACAAAATTTTATAGCTCTCAATCATGCAATTGCTAAGGAAAGCATGTAATGAGAAAAAACAAAAATCTACCAAATTAATTAGAAAACCATCCACAGAATAAGCCTGAATGAAAGGCAGACAATATAAAGTGTTTAAACAACTTTTTTGGATTCTTAAATAATGAGAAGTGATATTTTTGCAGCCAATTCTATTAACGGGGAGGCTGGCAGATATGAGGAGTGGTGATGGTATCTTTGAAAGGACTGCCATCTACCACAGAAGCAGTGTTCCTAGATTCCATGTGCATAGCCTGAGCTGTCCACTTCTACTGCACACTTGGGACTCTGTGTGTATATATCATGATAAGAAAGAA